CACACCCAAGAAAGCCACACCGCAAGGCAGACAATTGCTTACGCGCTCCACACCCGTACGCGCGCACCTGCGTAGCCAGTGTTCAAACCACTGAGGGCGCACCAGGCCTAGTCAATGCTCCGTTGAAGTGCGTGTGTTGGGTAGACCGCACGTCAACTGTCCCATACTCTTTAAATACGTTTTATTTGATTCGCCAACTCCGATGAACCACTTGAATGCGGCTGAAACCCAGTCGACGAACGTTGTGTGCGTACGTGTCCGCAACTCGGCCCCTTCTGCGGCTGTCGCATTCGTTCTTTCCCTTTCTCGCCGAGTCTTTCTTGCCCAGACCAAAATTAAGATTTCCGGTCACCAGCAGTGACAAATAGGGTGATCGAAATTCCCATCTATCCTAGGTAAGTAGGACGGAAATGACATACTCGCTTTACTCTTGCATTTCAGACCTATCCACCAGGACGTATTTATTCAACAGGCGGTATTCTACCGACAGCGTTTGAGTATCACCTTCGTATAGCAAAGCAGTTATGGACGCACGTACGTGTGATCCTACCCACCCATAGGAACAGCCATGCACATACGGACACACAAAAGTAAAGTTTTTTGGCTTGCCGGCAGACCTAATCGCGTCTGGGAAGGCAAGACAGAGAAGTCAGGACGGGAAAGAGGGGGAGGACTTGCCAGCTTACCAGCGTCATCTATGTAGCTTTTAAAATATAAATTTCAAATGTTCACAATAAATTTAAGATTGGCACTATGCGTTATGATTCAGGTGCATAAATCCAGGTTATTCCATTACTTATTAACAAAACCATTGAACTTGCATTCAGTATATATTCTTAAAACCAAATTGGATGGCTGTGTAGCATGGAGCGGCAGAAATCAAAAAAGATTAAGTACACACTTTTAAGTAGCGTTTGTGCTAGGCCTATGCTGAATGCACTATAAACTGTTTACCACTGAATTCGAATGTTAACTGCGTCTTATACGCATTACTAAATGTTCATCCTATCCATGGGTTACTCACTGACGTCTGGGTAAGTTAGTTTCCCTGAATCGAACAGACACAATTAAACACAGGCGTACAGTTACCTCCCGCATTGTGAAGGTCAAAACCGACTGGAAATCCAAGTAGCCTGGACTAATTACAATCTGTTGAAGTGATGAAATAATGTTGGAAAGGAAAGTCGCCAAAGTCCAGTTCCAGTAAGACTGTCTTGTAGGGTCGTCTAACTAACGATTGCTTACGTCCAACTTTTTTATGGAATTGTTAGTTACTTAGTAGTTGCTTAACGAGTGTAAATGAATATGTAATTGCGTCGACGGTGACCAAATAATGTTAAATTGAAGCCACTTATAGTTGTTTTAATGGGTTAAATAGAATCAAATCCATCAACACGAGCTCCTGTTGCCCAGGCAACTAATGCCTATTGATGGAAATTTTACCTTATATTGGCAGAATTTAATGAACAAAAGGGAAATTCGACCCTATATTGGCGAAACTCTGACGATAATCCTACCACAGTCCCCTAACCCTTTAAACGATATGGTAAATGGAGCTTAGGAGAACAGTTTAATTGAAATCGCGCACTACTAGAATTACGATACTTAATTTATCAGCTTGATGAAAAAAACTGGCGATGAATGACTTGATGAATGCAAGAAAGTCATTTAGCAACACCACCATCTAGTCTAAAACCCTGCCTTTTTGTGCAGTACTGGGACTTTTACATTACCCTTGCATCACTTGTTTGTTACCTGGTGGAAAGAGAAGTGGATTCTTGGCGGCTTGATTACTTGCACCCATATGACTCTTCAAGTCTCCCTGTGCATACAATTGAGGATATACCAGTTGACAACGCCTACGGTGGTCTTCAGGGGAATGGAGAGAGTTATTTAGCCTAATTGTACATTTGAGGAGGCAGACCTTTTGATATTTCTGTTACATACCTCGCACTAGATTTAAGAATGTTGTACACAATTGTTCCTTAATATTAGGTCACAAACCTTTTCAACTTCACATTTAAACGTCCTTTACTTCATACTGGATCGTGTAAGCCAAGCAAAACGGTTAATGCGATTTTAAGTACTCCTGCCTACTACAGTCTGCCTTGGGCCAAAATTCAGGGGAACTTTGTGTTAGCGTTGTGGTCAATGATAGGTTTATGAGAATGAGGGTTAGAATCTACGTCAGGGCTAGGGCGGTTAGGTTAAGGGTTGGAATTAGGGTAAAACGACTTAGCATTACGGTTGCAGTTAAGGCTGAAGTTAGAGTAGACGTTTAAATACAAACATGGAAATAGGCATTCCCGAGAACGAATCGCCACGCCACACATAGCAAAAGAGGTAAAAATTACCGTGTCCAACAGTCATGCGAAATGCGAGAAAAAGAAATCAGCACGTGTCTCTCATGACTGCACCTTCAATCCATTTGTTGGTAGTTTGGGCCTCCCTTGCGCTTCAATCACCATTCAGAGAGAACATGTATTGATGAGTGCAACTATTGGCTAAATATTTCCTCAGCTGGTCAGTTACCGTGTTTTGTTTTTCTTCACATTATTGTCTGCCACAATACTTCCAAACACCACTGGCAGGTTGAAAGCAATATTATGTGTGCATGGCTAGCTTTGTCCGTTCCCTCTGTTCCCTCACTATGCACCGTGCATAACAAATCACAAAAAGGAAGAATTACTGAGGCTGAGCTTCAATAACGATTCCCAGCTTCAAACTAGAATTGAAATAAATGCAGCAAATAATAACGTAAGTTTTACGTTTCTTTCACACAATCTAGGCGTCTTAAATACTTGAACTATTCATTAGATTCGTTATGTTACTCACAGAAATGGATGTTGCGCAAGCTTATATTGATGTCGCATACTGAAAGTGCATGTCGACTAGCGATAAAAAATACTTATAACTTTTTCTGTCGTCGGAAAACCGTATTTCCTCTCACTATATCGTTGGCAATAAGAACTTGCGGGGGACCGGCCAGTTCAGTTACATGTTTTGTTCCACCCTGAACACACTCGAGGTCCCAGTCATGCCATTCTGGGTTTGAACTAGAACGTAATTAGCTACCAGGAATTGAGTAAATCAGTAGGCAAATATATCTGTTTTCTTAGTGCGGCCTAGACTGACTTGAAGCCATGTCATAGATGGCTGATAGCAGTGAATACACCAGCATTAATATTAATTATTTTTCTAGCTTATGACGTTATTTCCTCCTAATTATTGGTTCCTAGCGTCATGTGACCGGTGGCTACAATAACAGAGCAGAGAATCTAGGCAAAATTGAATGCCTGTACTCAATCCTGTGATCACTATAGGTTTCTGAATTCCACTTCTATACTAGTGGTGGGAAGTTACGGCGTATACTTACATTCCAGAGGCAGCTCGCCGGAAATGAGTGCAACTTAAGATTTAACTACTTCAATAATTTCTATTATTTGGGTCTCAGGTGGGGTAATCTGAATAAACACCGAATGTCCGCAGTTGAAAGTTCCTGCGAGCATTGTGGGTGCTTTGACTCGTTTCTGCCGTCGAATATGTCTAACTGACAGAAAATATATTGACCAATAGACAAATGATTTACAAAAAGCACTAATCTGGCTTTGACATATACAAAAAATACGTTCATTTATTTAATTTAAATAAATTTTTTATTGTGGAAGTTTGGTCTTTTAGTTGGGTCAACATTATGCCAACCCCTACCAATAGAGAGAGGAAATGATTAAATGTTCTGTCAGTTAAATCTTTGACTAATCTAATCAATAAAATCTACAAAATTAATAAAAGTGACCCTTAGAAGAAGTTATCAAAGGTTCCACGTGTGTTTTTAAAAATGGCATAACATAGGATAAAGTTGATTTCCTGTGCATTGTCCAGCAAAATGTGTGCATATTCCTTTCCTTTATTTAAAATTAATAAAATCCTTACAAGGGTTCTCTCGAATGACGGTTGTTATGGTGAGACTTAAAACAAGATCGGAAAATATGTCGCTTAT